GGGGAGAGAAAAATTATTAAACCTTACAATTATGTAAGTTATTTACGAGATTCTTTATTAAAGTAACTATGTATCGAACGATTATTGATCGATAAAAAATATATCCTAATTTCTTAATGATCGTATCGAGATCATTTATTAAATGTATACGTACATTAAAGATACGATTGGAATTGTCGGTGTAATGTAATATATGGATTAATAATTTATCTATAAGCTATAATTAATTTATATTTCTCTCAAGTTAAACGTAAACATGAGTTTGCAATAAAATAATAATGCTTTAATTTATACGTATTGCATGATATGATATTGGACCTTCTCTTCTCGTTCTTTTTCTTTCATTCTTTTTTTTTTTTTTTTCTTTTTGTTACTTTCATTCCTTTTACGATTCTCTTCCGCATATTTATTCGATTTTATCAGTACATCATTCGATGTACATCATTATTTTTCAGATGAACATATACATAGGATGAAGGAAACATGATTTTAGATCCTTTTCTCGTTTTTTTTTTTCTTTCTTTTTTTGATATCTTCAATGATTCGGTATTGTTCATACACACTTTGACGTTCATGACGAAACAAATTTGCGTATTTCTTCTCTAGAAAAAAAAAAAAAGAAAATTATCTAATACATAGTTTACATATTTCTTTTTAATTTTTTTATCACGCGTGTGATAAAATTGTTATATAAAGTGCATTTGAATTCGTAAACTACTACGATTCAAATACAACACTTGGATATTAATGAGTAATAGAAAGTATTCATCATATATTTCTATAAACTGTGTTTGATATTCTCTTTATTGCTTTATTATTCTTAGCTTTTATGAGAGAAACAGGAATTAAAAGAAAAAAAAAAAGAAAAAAAAAAATAAAAAGAAGAAAAAAAGTAGAATAAAGAAGTTAGTAAACGACGTATTAAATTAGTACGAAAAAAAGTTTTATCTACTTTGGTTTATGCATATTTGCATATTAGAAATATATTATGTTAATTTGGAATGGCAAATAGCTATCTATTATGTCAATATAACAATTAAAATATATAATATAATATAGCATCATATTTATTTCGAGAAGTTCCGAACTAATTAGTAAAAATTCTTGATATCAGTTTAGACCTGTCGATTATCGTTATCGATATGTAGAAAAATTTGCATTATATATTTATGTAAATTTATGAAAATTGAAAAAAGGAATAAAATTGGATGATATATGAAAAGAATCATTTTAGCATTGTCATGATTTTTGAAACGAATTAATTTAGACGAAGAATAAATTCTATATATGAGACGGTGCTTTTTGAAGGTAAGAGAAATCCATTTCGTGAACAAATAGTTAAAGTTTATTTTTATTACAAATTAATATATGTTTTCTACCAATAAAATAAAATGGAGTTGCCCCACTTTCAAAACCAACGTTTTATATATATATATATATATATATATATATAATTCGTCAGCACGACATTTTTTACAATGTGGAATAGAATTTGAAATTTCTTTCTCTTCTCCGTTTATTATTTGTTTTATTTATTGATTATTATTTTTTTTAATATTTCCATTTTTCGATTTTTTCCTTTTCTTTTCTTTATTTTTCGTATTTTTTATTTTTTATTTTTTATTTTATTTTATTTTTTTTTCTTTGGAGAAAGATCATAATCGTTCCCATGTAATCAATTATCATAACGAATAAATTAATGAAATTCAATATTTACATTTAATAACCAATGATAATATCACCGGTGAAAAATCCAACGATGAATGCGAGTAGATCGTTCTGTTTAGAAAATAGCACATTTCATCGTTGAAACTTTTTTGATTTAGCTTCACCATTTGATTACGATTGAGAAAGTTTGCTAAATCCGGCAAGATAATTTAAATTTTACAAAAATAATATTCATTATTTTTTCCTTTCTTATTTACTTATATCTTTTCTTTCTTTTATTTATTTATTTATTTATTTATTTTTTTTACAATTTTATCATATCTACGATGATTATTGTGCATGAGATTAATGTAAACGCATTATACATGAGACAATGATTAAAAATCATCACGTATTTGTATGATATTTATTCAATGAATATTATTATTATTATTATTATTATTATTTTATTTTATTCTTTTTTCTTCTTTGGAACAATGAACTTCATAAAAATATTTGTGATGTAAATAATACAGAAAATGAAGTTTGGTCTTAAAAAAGAAAAAAAAAAAAAAAAGAAAAACAAGAAAAATAGAGAGCAATTTTTTTTCTTTTTACACGATTTCTATATAATATTATTTTTAATGATATTTATATAAACAAGATGTTTATATAAATACGTTTCAATTATTGAATGATAATACAACGATTTTCTTGTTCAATATTATGAACCATTCAGAGAACCATTCATTTTTTTTTCCTACCTTTTTTCCGTTAATACGTAAACATAATTGCAGATCTTGAAGTATCAATATACGAAAGAGTAAATAAATAATATTTTTTATGTGATGAAAGGAAAAAAAGAGAAAAATTCTAGAACAACTTCGTATATCAAATGATATGGACGTATGTTAATTTTTAATGATTATATAAAGTATTATATATATATATATATATATATATATATATATTAGGTTGGAAACTATGAAACGGGCGTTTTTTGTTTAGTCTGTGTTCAGCTGCGACTGAGAGATATAGATTGTAACATGCGCTCGATATTTTAATTTATAAAGCTTAAATATATACTTCTTACTCATTTTGTAAAATTTTTTCGTATTTGTATATCATTTTTATTTTATTTTTATCCTAAACCGGATGGAAACAAAACGCGATTTACATCTATTCTTCTTGTACGAGTTTAAATTAAATCATACCGCAGCTTCAAGCTTCAAGAAATATTAATCAGGCATGCGGAGATGGATCCACCAATGAAAAAAATGCTCGATATTGATTCTAAAAATTTCGTTCTGGCAATTTGAGTATCGTCAATGAGCCTCTAGGAAGATCACCGACCCATATTGTTAACGAGGAATTAAGGACGACTGTGGAATCCGATCTACACACAACTAGTCGAACACTTGGGTTTAAATTAGTTCCTAGTTTAGATCCAGTCATTCAGCTGTGTTAAAACATTTGCGTGGAATAAATAAAGTCAAAAAATTGGACTCATATGTGCCGCATGAATTGACGCAACTGCAGATGATCGATCGCAAAAACAAGTGCGCTTCTTTGTTGCTTCGCAATACACGATTACCATTTTTACACCAAATCATCACTTGTGATGAAAAGTGGATTTTGTATGATAATCGAAAACGATCAAGCCAATGGATAGATAAGAATACACCCCCAAGACACACCTCCGAAATCGAAATTTCATCAAAAAAAAATTATGGTTACCATATGGTGAAATGTCCAAGGAGTGATCCATTATTCCTTTCTACAAGCAGATGAAACTATAACAGCGATGTCATATTGTCGTGAAATTGATGTCATGCATGAGAAACATATGAAAAAACAACCAGCATTGCACAATTGGCACGGCGCAATATTATTGCATGATAACTCACGACCACATAAAGCTTCCATTACCGTTGACAAATTAATTTCTCTACAATATGAAATTTTATCACATTCTCCATATTCACCCGATATTTCACCGACCGATTATTACCTTTTTCGTAATTATGAATTATTTTTAAGAGAAAAAAAAATACAATAACCAAAATGATATTATAAAAAACTTTGAATTATCTATTAACTTTAAAAATAAAGATTTTTTTTATCAAAAAGGCATATATGATTTGCCCAATCGTTGGCAAAAAGTCGTAGATGCCAATGGAAATTATTTCAATTGAATATAATAAATAATGTGAAAAATTGCGCTTTTCGTTTTTTATTTTCATTCAACGCCCGTTTTATAGTTTCCAACCTAATATATATATATATATATATATATATATTATATTATATTATATAATGATTATATAAAATTTCATTGTCACACTAACGAGAGGGAGGGAGAGGGAGGGGGGAGGGAGGGAGGGGGAAGAGAGAGATAGAGAGGAAGAATAAGTTTGAAATATAATAAAATATAATATAAATTATGTTAAGATATATAAGTACTTACGAAATGGTATACTTTTGAAGGGAAACATGATGAATATATCCTTATGTATCCTCGATTAGTAAAATCACAAGATTGAGATGAATAATTTTTCTGAAATCATTTGAATGTTAGGACTAAATGACTGCAGTTTTGATGACATGCAGCTTAGAGTATTAATATTCTGATTTTAGAATTAAATATATTAGAAGTGAATTTTTTTCAATGTTATGATACGATAAATATAATGTTATTAATATGATAGATTTGATACGAAACTGAAGAGTGATAGGAGAAATTAATGATCTTTACTTTATCTATTTTATATAGATTAGATATTTTGTCTATTTATTGTAGATTATATTATATTAACTACTTTAAAATAACTAATATTTTATCAAAAAGCTTATTTTCCATAAAATATTAATCATTTTAATATTTTGTTATCAACAGTTTATTTTGGTTTCTTTAACCATGTATATATATATATATATATATATATATATATATATATATATTATATATATGTTTATATATAATTGCTATTTTCAATATTTCATAATTAGATATTTGAACATTTATCAACATTTATATTGTCTAACGTTTAATCATCTTGATTCTTGATTCATTTTATTTTACATATATTTGTTTATAATCGATTTATTAATTGCTACTTGCATTGTCCATCCTGCATGTGTGCTTTCTAAATTAATATAATAATTACATAATAAATATGAAAGGAGAAACAATTAGTCAATGAAAATAATAATAGAAATGTGAATTTATAATTATCTTACGAGTTCTTTTTAATTTCGATCTTGAAGTTTCTTTCTTTCTTTTTTTTTTTTTTTTCAAGTTCAATTTTCATGACGATATTTTTATTACTGCATTTTCGATCTTCCCCCCTCCCTTTTTTTTTTTATTTATTTTTCTTTTTTTCTCTTTTCTTTTTTTTTGTCGTTAGACGAAATCTGATTTATCCCTTGGACGAATTTTGGACACGTTGACGATTTTCTTCAATTTTCTTTTTATCTTCTACGGTTAATGCTAATCCTAAAAAAGTGCAAATATTCTTAATAAAGAAAATAACATAAACGCACACATACATACATATAATACATGGATTATGATAAGAAAATAAGGATAAGTTAAATAACTGAACGAATTATTTTGTTGTATAAAAACTGGTTATCCTAGAAAATTATAAAAAATTGTGCATCCGATATAATAATCGCAAATGAATCATTTAACCGGTTTTGTATATTTGTATTAATGAAGATCGACCTATTTAAATAATCTTAATTCGCATTTCAATTCAACGTTGGCGTTTTTAAACATTAGTAATACTTGTAGAATCTATATATACAACGGATATAGTTAGATTAAAAATTTTTCTCTTTATTATTGAACGGAAAAATTTGTTCGGCAAAATAATATCAAAAGATTCCGTTGATAATGTAAATAAGATTAAAAAAAAAAAAAAAAAAAAAAAAAAGAAATCGTCCATTAATAGAAATATTTTTCTTTCAAATATTATCGTCGAGAATTGAAATAAAATAAAATTCTTTAAGAAAGATCTAATATTATTTCAAGAATATAATTATAATTACTTCTCGACGTGAAATAAAATTATACTGAAACGAATGAAATCCAAAGATACCACATTGCCTTTTTACGTAGAGCTTGATTTGACGTAATCGAGTTTAATACGTATTAAATTGCAATTCTATTAGAAAAAGTTTAGTATGAGCTTTGACGAAATAAAGGAGATCTAATTAAATAAATTTATTTTGAATGAATTTATGAGAAAAAAAGAGAGAGAGAGAAAAAAAAAAGAAAAAACAAATTACACGATGAGTCAAAAATTTCTCGATAATCTCTATAATCGATTATTATTTTTCGAGACATTTTAAGATTGCAAATTAGGCTTACAATTTTACGAGATAATTTTAGAATTTAATCTAAAGATTGTTCTAAAAAATGTTTCGAAAAAAGTAATTAAAATCACATAAGAACTTTTTAATCTATCCTGTATTTAAATGAAATATTTATGTCGAGTGAATTTGTACGAGGGAGTAAGGGGAGGGGGGGGGGAAGGGAGAAAAAAAAGAAAAAGAAAAACAAATTTATGATGCTATTAGATAAAAAAAATTACTCTTGTTTTCTTTAACCTTTGAGACAAATTTCACTATCGTATGAACATATACTCTCGCATTCGCTTTCTTCAGATTCAGATTCGATTTTTTTCTGATATCTTTTGCACCAGAATTTATCTTTCTTCTTGATTTTTTTTCGTTTCTTCTCTGTACTCTGTTCATTGTCTTTCTTTTTCTTTTCTGTAATTTTCTCGTTTGCCGTTTCCTCTTTCGTTTCATTGCTCTCTTCATTAGCTGTTGCAGCAGAATTTTCTTGTAACTTTGTTTCTTCTTTACGGTCGATCGTCTTTTCCTCTTCAGAAATTTTTTTCTTTCGCTTTCTTTTTTTCCTTCTTTTAAGATACTTTTGCTCGGTTTTCTTTTCTGCAATACAAATTATTTAACAGTTAGTAACATTGATATAAAGAGATATATTGTAATATTTAATTGTTAAGGAAATTTTATTAATATCGAGGAAAGTCTTTAGACCAAAACAAAAGTTTCTAAAATAATCAATGACTTTTTTTTTTTTTCGAGATCTTACTAAATAATTTTAATAAATGTTAAACTTAATCCCTGAAAAATCTAGGAAATCTTATTGGAAATTATTATTTTTTTTTTTTTTTTCATAAAAATTAATAGGATCAGAGATATATATCGTTTGAAATGAGACACTCGGTATATATTATTAAGTGTATATATATATATATATATGTATAGAAATTAATGATCAATGACAGTGCTAGTGATTGATTGCTTTTGCTTTCGACATTTAATCGTTATTATAATGATATTTTGATTTGGTGGATTAATCGATAATATTTATTGTTAAAAGATAATATCATAGAATTTATTTCTATATATTAATCAAAAAATTTATATAACTAATCAAAATATGAATAATTAATACGAATCTTACTTTCTCGTTGCGCAATTTCTTTCGAAGCTACCAAATCGATTTCTGGTAATGATTCGATAAAGCAATGTATGTGTCGAGGATATAAAAATTGATGTCTAACTTCTAATGAGGGTTTAATTTTTTTTAATAATAAATCAATTGAAGAAATTGGCTTTGGTTTAAATATCCCTTTTTCTTCTCGTCCTTTTCCTTTCCCATTTTTTTTACATTTACGATAACGAATTTTGATAATAGTCTTTGCCTTCTTTTCTTCCTCGATACAATCTGTTGTCACTTTTTTAGATTTTCTTTTTATCTTCTTTTTCATATCCTTTAAATGTTTTTGTTCTTTTTTCCATTCTTTATATTTTTCACAAGTTCTGTCGCTTAACATGATTCTTTTTGTGATTGTTAATTGTTAATAATGTTTTCTGAAAAAAAAACAAATTTCATCATAACTTATTATATATATATATATATATATATATATATATATATATATATATATATATATATATTGATTGATTGATTGATTTAATAATTAATTGTTATTATAGTACATTAAACTTGATTGAAATATAACGTAATAAATTTTTTAATTAATTACCTTCGTAATTATTGTTTATCCAATTTTAATACATTTTGTTTTGTTTTCTTTTTTTCTAATCCTGCTATCATTTTGAATTGGCTAATAAATGTTTTTTTTTCTTCTGATTATTGGATAATTAAGTCCATTAAGTTCATTTTTGGATAATTTAAATGTTACATTATGTCAAAATTTTGTAAAATTTTATCTTAGAATTTTGATTGCTAAAGTTAGAATTAAAAGATTTTTAATTCAATAAATTTTACATGTCGAAATGATGAATGATGCATGCAAATAAATGAAGAGATCAATGTATCGATTAACATATATCGTTACCTTGAAAAAGTCAAAATTCACTATGACGTTATAATAATTTCGTAATGTCAAATGTCTAAATTTCAAGTATTCAAAAATGTAATAATGTAATAAAATCGAATTATACAATACATTTTTATTAAGGATTGTTCGAAAAATTTATAAAATTTCGAGCGAAAACTTAATTTTTAATCAAAGTAAGTAAGTAAGTAAGTAAAAAATCTAATAAAAACTCTAATGAGTTCGATCTAATCGTATAAAGGTGTAACGGAGGTTAGATTAATGAAAAGAAAAAAAAAGATTTTGAAGATTTTTAATGCAATAAATTTTACATGTCGAAATGATGAATGATGCATGCAAATAAATGAAGAGATCAATGTATCGATTAACATATATCGTTACCTTGAAAAAGTCAAAATTCACTATGACGTTATAATAATTTCGTAATGTCAAATGTTTAAATTTCAAGTATTCAAAAATGTAATAATGTAATAAAATCGAATTATACAATACATTTTTATTAAGGATCGTTCGAAAAATTTATAAAATTTCGAGCGAAAATTTAATTTAATCAAAGTAAGTAAGTAAGGAAGTAAGTAAAAAATCTAATAAAAACTCTAATGAGTTCGATCTAATCGTATAAAGGTGTAACGGAGGTTAAGAAAAAAAAAATTTTTTTTTTTTTTTTTTTTTTTTTTTTTTTTTAATACAACAAAATAGAAAGAGAAAGAGAGAAAAAATGGACGAGGGTAGATCCAAGGAAGAAAAATCAGGTGCGGAATTAGAGAAAATCAAGAAACTAAAATTACGAGAGAAATGGAAACAACTTTGCGAATGTGAGGAAATAGTCTCGGCTGATACGATAAATGCAATTGGCAGGATAACGGACGATGTTATTGGTGCTGAGGACAATGCACCGAGTACCGATGAATTAGATGAGGATCTCGAAAATGAATACAAAAAGTTAAACGATCTTCTTGATTTATCTTACGATAGTTATTCGCTTACCGCGATAAAAGCAGAATTACCAGCTTGTATTAAATACGGCATACGTTCTGGCTTAACTCATTCGAACATGTTGAAATTTTCGCCATTTTCTCGGGGTCATCAGGTATTAGAATAATTAGACGTGAATTATGATTAAACAAAAAAATTATCGTATATTTCATTAACATTCGAAATTATATATTCGTTTGATGAATTTTCCTTAATAATAGGGTGGCGCTATAGCAATAGCTGCTTTCGCAACGACAGCGATATACAAATCAAGATGTTGGAACGAGTCTGTAATAGATCAGATAATCGAGGACGGTGATACGTTTTATTGTGAATCATACAAGGATGTTAAAACGACTGATCGTAGGCATTTATCGATATTGGATTTAAAAAGGATCGTATGCGTTCAAAAGAAATTTAACGTTCATGTAACAATCAAGGATCCATCTTACGCGGGAAAATTTCGTTCTCACGATCCAACCGAATTGCATTCGATCAAAGCGTTAGAACTTTTCTTTAAAAAGTACAATTCGGGTATATTGACCTCGCCTGTATTAAATTTAGCAATTTGGAAAGATCCAAGATATTTCAGTATATTCGATGGTCAAGCTAGAAAGGAGAATTGTGAGCCAGCTAAAGATAGCGAAGATGGTTCGGCAAAATTATTTTTGGTCAAGGATTTGATAGGAGTTTATTTTATAATACTTGAAAAAAGTAACGTTAAAAATGAACCATTCGTAATTTATCCAATATCTATTAACGGTATTCTACCATCCTCTTTAATCGATGTTTTGGACGAACCAGAAAAATCTCTTGGGAAACCGCAAAGACGACCAAGTGGTTATAAAATTCAAGAGAAATTTCGTGCTGTCATTCAAGGATCATATCATTTGACGCATCCTGTAATACCGGAGATACTTCGTGGCCGTGGACATCTTATAATAGCACTCGCTGCTATAGTTTATTCATGTTTGGTCAATACGAACAAATGGACTACCGCTTTGATCGATTTGATATTCAATCAGTCGAACATTTATCTAATAGATCTTGTCAGAGCATTGGATAAAAATTTAGTCGACGAAGAATTCGAATTACGTTTGGACGATATAATGGGTGATTTGATATTAGGCGTTTATTCGGCCAAAATCAAATTACAACAAAACGTAATCCCTGGTTCTGGGAAAAAGAAAGGTAAACTTGCTATAGACAGTGGAATACGTGAATTCTTTGCTACCCAAAGAGCAGGCATATTGGATATTAAAAAATTTTATTACGCTATTTGGAAGCAAAACGATACGTATTATTTCATGGATCCATTTGCTTGCGACGAGGAAGGATTTAGAATAGATTATAGCGTTGAACGAAAGAAAATTAATGGTGCAAGAGATGCCGCATGCGTTACCATGAATAGTTCGATCAATCAAATGGTCGAAACTATTTTAGAAAATACTCTTAGCAAAGATAAAGATCCATTTTTCATTCATGGTATTAAGGTACTTTACGTGAAGACTGGTACGGTACACGAGGGTCCATTTGAAAAAATAATATACAGAGAAAGGGATACGAATCGTAGACCCTTGGCGCCATTGATCGAATCGTCCAAGGAAATTGTTGAAAAAAAATTAGACATGACACCTACAATAAGATACGAATTAGACAAATATTATGACGCCGAGACACAATTTCCAGAACTAATGAAAAATGCAAGTCAGTATATGTTTAGAGAAAATGAGCCAAGAACTTTTGTAACAGCTAGTAAACCAGTAACAAAAAAGACAACTACCGATGTAGACGTGGATGAGGTAGAGGAAGAGGAAGAAAAAGAAGAAGACGAAGAAGAAGACGAAGAAGAAGAAAGAGATATCGATGTTGAAAAAGATAAAGTAGAATCGATTATAGACTCTGAAATAAAACAAATTACAGGTTATAACGTGGTAAATCCTCATCGTTTAATAGTCCAAGGTACGAAGAACTGTTTACATCCTGATTATAAAATTCGTCATAGAGGTAGACAAGGTTTAATAATTGCTTTGGTAGCATTGGCATATAGAAAATTGAAGGATCCATCAGAATGGAGAAATATAGATCTCGATCAGATCGTAGATATAGGTAATAAGAGTTACGAAGATGTTATCAATTGGATAAAGGATGGTAAACCCAAATTGAAAGGTGAAAAAGAAGAGGGAAGAAAAGAGAGAAGATTGGATGAGGAAGAAGAGGGAGCCGAGGAGGAGGAGGAGGAGGTAGAGGAGGAGGAGGAGGAGGAGGAGGTGGAGGAGGAGGAAGAGAAAGCTGCTAAAATTTTAAAAATGTTACCGGCACCAAGCCATTTGGATTTATCTATGTTACCAATTAGATTAAAATTCGCCGAGAACGATGTCGTTTTTAAAACAAAAATGAATTTAATCGCCGGTTATGCGAATCCTCTTGTAAACTTGGCCGAGGCATTAGAATGTTATTTCAATGATTACATGGAATTGATATTGGAAAATAAAAGACTTATGTACGGTATATGGAAGGAAAATAATAAATATTTTTTATTTAATCCTTATGGCAGCGACGAGGAAGGTTGGAGATTACTTAATTATCCTGCGTCATTTGCGGTCGTTGATACGATTAAGGAACTCACCGATATTATTTACGGTATATTGGAGTATAATGAGAATGATTTTATTATTCATTTTGTTTCATTGGATTCGATTCAACCTGGTAAATATACGGCAACGGAACAGCACGTTGAGATTCCTGATGATAGTATGATCAGGAAGTTTAAAACTAATTTCTTACCGGTCACCGATAATGATCTTGTGCAATTAGAAAAAGATAAATTGTTAAAGGATATGCAATCGGAGAAGGCTACCGTTATGACAGAAGAGGAAGTAAAAGGAGAGGATGAGGGAAAAGAAGAAATGGAAGAAGAGGAAGAAGAAGAAGAAGAAGAGGAAGAAGTTGAAGAGGAGGAGGACGAGGAAGCTTTAATCGAGGCACATTTAAAAGCATTGGAAGAAGCCGAAAAGAAACCTATTATTTGTCCACTTTTGGTAATAGAGGAGAAGGATCAACCCGATGCGCCTTATCGTTTGAATTTAATATTATTAACTGGTAATGTTAAAATACAAACCGAGGATGAATTTACACAAAAGATCATACATCCCGAAAGGATATTAGAAAAATTCAAATATATTCATCCACCGCCATACGTGATGCCACCGAAGGGAACGCTTTGTACTCTATTAGATGCAAAACATGCTAAGAGATCTATTCACTCATTGGTCTCTAGATTCTCGATAGATTCTAAATTAGAAGTTAAAAAGAAAGTTGACATTTCGGTGGCCAATTTACAAACTAAAGTACACGTGTTACCTCTCCCGGATGATTCTTATAAGCCAACGAAAATAATCAAACTTAACGATAAGAAATATTTTTATTCGCGTGATTTATCGATTTGTTTAATGCCACTTAGAGCGGTCAATGATATATACATACACGATATCGATCTGGAAAAAGAAACTACTTTAATATCGAAAGATCAAGGCGACGGTTATGTCCTTGAAAAAATTCCTGATATACCGGTAGGAATACGTATTATGCCGGAATTATTGCCACTTGGTCCTATCATTAAAACACCGATTTATGTTGAAAGAACAATAACTTGTAAAGAAAGGAAGAAACGTAAGTGTTTATTGACGAAAAGTGAAAAAGGAGAACCTATTATGGAGAAAATTATATGTGACACTGAAAATGTCCTC